TGCCACCATGCCCGGCTAATTTTTTTTATGTATTTTTAGTTGTCCGATTAATTTCTTTCTATTTTTAGTAGAGACGGAGTCTCGCTCTTGTTCAGGCTGGCCTTGAACTCCTGAGCTCAAACAATCCGCCCGCCTCGGCCTCCCAGAGTGCTAGGATTACAGGCGTGAGCCACCGCGCCCGGCCCAGGTTTAGGTTTTTTAAGACAAAAGAAAAACGTAGATAGTAAAATAGCAGGTTAGAGGAAGTTGATTTTCCTTTTGTTCTTTTTTTTTTTTTTTTTTTTTAAAGAAGGTGGAGATGACTGCACGTACTTACTGTTGGAAAACAGAATTATGGAAGAAGAAAACAGTGAATTTAAGGTTAAAGACAGGATGCTAAAGAAGGGACCCCACTATAAATGATAGATAATTAAAACGTTTGAGCAATGAGCAAATGTAGGTGGAGCAAACTGGAAGTCAGGATTTTAAGTAAATGGCCGTGTTGTAATAGTTAATAACAGTGGCAATTTTGGGTGCTAGAGGAAATGTAACTACCATGCAAATGAATAGCAATACATTATTTTCTCCTACTTCCCAAAAAGGATTTGATCTGGTTTATAGTATAAACGCTTTGTGTTAGAGGACAGTAGGAACAAAATGAGAAGGTTGCAATCATTTAGAACTGGAGAAATGGTTCCCTCAAGACAAAAACCAGTGTTATCAGCACACACACCCATTTTTTCCAACTTAAAATTGTAAATTAAAGAATCCCATTGGTACTGCAAATGGGGCCATTAACACTTACATTGTTGGCCAGCTGTGATAGCAGATGATTATGTCACAGTTGCAACTCAGGAGACTGATCTTTGGCAGATCAGAATCTCTGTGTTAATGAAAACAGTCAAATACAGTTAATACACTTACACTTGACTATTGAAGTGATCTTTCAAGAACAGTCTTGTCCATATTTCATCTCTGAGAGGTGTTAGTGCATAGTGGTTAGGAGCTTGAACCCTGAAGCCAGACTGCCTGGCTTAGACTCCCAATGTGACTGCTTATAACTCGTGTGGAATTTCAGTGAGGAACTTCTGGCTTTGTTTTCTTATCTGTGAAATGGGACCAGTGATAATCCTAACTCACAGGATCATGAGGATAAATGTAAAGTGCTTAATGTAGACCTGGTGTATAATTGGTGCTAAATAAATATTCACAATGCATCATTAAACACTGAGTCAAAATGGTACCTAAATTCTTCTGTGTATTTTGTTATTCTGAGTGCCTGTGATAATTAACTTGACAAAGTCTTTAATTATAAGAATAATACATTCATGTTAAGTTTGAAATAGTGCGAGACGTAGTCTGAAAAGTAAGTCTCCGGGCTGGGTGGGCTGGCTCATGCCTGCAATTGCAGCACTCTGGGAGACCAGGAGTTCGGGACCAGCCTGAGCAACATAATGAGACCCCATCTCTACAAAAAATAGAAAAATTAGCCGGGTGTGGTGGCGTACACTGTGGTAGTCCCAGCTACTCAGGAGGCTGAGGCAGGAAGATCACTTGAGCCCAGGAGTTCGAGGTTATAGTGAGCTGTGATGGTGCCAGCCTGAGCAACAGAGTGAGACCTTGTCTCAAAAAAAAAAAAGATAAGCGTCCCTACTCAACCTCTGTTCTCAACATCTCAAATTTAATTTTTTACATCCTTCTAGAAAGCATAATACATCTATGTAGATAAAGACTTATTTTCGTAACTAAGATCAACCTATTTTATGTAGTCTTCTGTATCTTAAAATTTTAATTTCAAATTGTAAAATATACATAACAAAAAATTTGCCATTTTAACCATTTTACTATTCAATGGCTGAAGGATATTCACATTGTACTATCATCATCGCCATCCATCTGAAGTACTTTATCTTACAAAACTATACCCATTAAACAATAACTTCCCATTATTCTCTTGCCCTAGACCCTGGAAACCAGCGGTCTGTTTTTTTCTGTGTCTATGAATTTGACTACTCGCATAAGGAATCAGAGTTAGTCTTTTTGTGACTGGCTTACTTCACTCAGTATAGTGTCTTTAAGGTTCATCATGTTTTAGCATGTGTCAGAATTTCCTTCCTTTTTAAGACCCAGTAATCCATTGTATATACCACATACTGTTTACCTGTTTATCTGCTGGGCATTTGGGTTGCTTCCACCTTTTAGCTATTGTGAATAGTGCTGCTATGAACATGGATGTACAAATATGTGTTCATAGCTTGGTTTTTTCCACTCAATTTTAAAGGATCTTTTTGTATTATTATTTTAGCCTTTTATTTTGTCTAGATACTACAATATCATCAGATTCATTGGGATATATTCTACTAAAATGATATCATGGGTCTTTGCTAACATAAGAGAAATTGTTTTATGTAATATATAGAAATCAGATTTATGTAATACTTTAAAAAGTATTTAATTTTATATTCTAATTGAAGCTACTAAACTTATGGTTTTTAGATGTGGCCAATTAGATAGTGCTTTGAATGAAGCTACTAGTCGTGTCAGAACACTTGAAAATAAGAATAACTTACTGGAAATAGAAGTGGTAAGTACTTTTTTTTCTTGGTAATGGTTCTAGTGGTTTAATGTACAAAGCCCTTTTATTGACTGAACTGGAGAGACAAATGAATAATTTTATGATAACATTGGTTGTGTGTTTCTTGTCATCTTTTTAAGGAAGTCTCCTTAAGTTTGTATTTTCAGTGCTGCTGGCTTCATGATACTGTAAATTTTATCCTTTTAAAATCTTCATCTTTTTAATTGGGATATAATTTGCATACAACAAAACTCACCCTTTTAAAGGGTACAGTTCAGTGGTTTCAGTATATTTAGAGTTGTGCAGCCATCACCACAATCAATTTTAGGGTGTTTTCCTTAGTCACAGAGAAACCCACGCCCCTTAGCCATCCCTCCACATGCTCTGTCCTCCCAGCCCTTGGCAACAACTACTCTGCTTTGTCTGCGTGGATTTGCCTATTCTGGATATGAATGGAATCGTGCATTTTGTAGCCTTTTGTGTGCTTTCACTTAGCATAGTGTTCTCAAGGTTTGTCCATGCTATAGCTCGGGTCCGTCCTTCATTCCTTTTTATGGTTAACTCATATTTCACCGTATGGCAAACCACATTTTCTTTGTCTGCTCATCAGGTTGTTTCCGCTTTTTGGCTATTATGAATGATACTGCTATGGATGCTTATGTGCATATGTTTTTAGTTTTCTTGTGTATATAACTAGGAGTACATAAACTTTTATTCTTACTTTTTTTCATACATTACCAAGTTTTCTTCTACACATAACTTTTCTTTTTCTTTTTGAACAAAGATCTTTATTATTCATGTTGTTCCCAATCTTTTAGTGTAAAACAGTCTTTTAAGGGTCAGTTTCTCAAAGTACATGTTTACAAGTTTAATTTTTAATATCTGTTAAATTATAAAATTATAAATTATAAAATGTATGATAGAAAGCTATCGTAAAATGAGTGTGTATAGGGATGAGATACATACAACCTTAGAAACAAAATTTAGATGGAAAATGCCCATTTTGTTCCACGTTATTTCTGTCTTTTTTTAGTTATTTTTGTCTCTTTCTAAACTGTAAACTTTATGAAGTTAGGGACTGTTGTCTTTCTTGTTAATCGTACATTTCCAGCACCCTAGTGCCTTGCAACTAGCAGGTATTCCAAAATGGTTGTTGAATGAATATTAATATATCAGATGCATTTTGAATTTTTTCTGTTTTCGTAGGGTAAGATACGCTTTTTCCTCCCTAAATATTAACGTTGGACAACAAAATCCAGCTCTACTTTCAGAATACCTTCCCTAATAGCCATGGTTATTTTTTCCTTAAAGTGATCCACTGGAGATACTGTCTTAGGCGAGTCCTGGAATCATGTGCCTCAGTCGTTTTCTGTCTGCCTGGAGCTGTTACTCCAGTAGAGTGATCCTTTCCAGACTGTGTGTCCCAGGATATAACAAAATATTAAATTCGTTCATTTCCATTTGTATATTTTGTTTTATTCTATATTTTAATGCCAATAATTTGCCACTTTTGTGACATCTATTTTTCATTTAAAAGAATTTATTATGTTTGATCTTTATTTTTTAGAATGACTTGAGAGAACGGTTCAGTGCAGCCAGCAGTGCCTCCAAAATTTTGCAGGAACGAATTGAGGAAATGAGAACAAGTAATAAAGAAAAAGACAATACTATCATTCGACTAAAATCTAGACTGCAGGATTTAGAAGAAGCATTTGAGAATGCTTACAAACTCTCAGATGATAAAGAAGCTAGACTAAAACAAGAAAACAAAATGTTTCAAGATGTAAGTAACAAATAATGGCAACTTAAGGTCATGGTTGGCTAGAAGTAATATATTTAGATAATGTGCTCTTACAAGCTACTATGACTTTTTCCAGGTTTTAGTTTTACATAACTTTGCCATAGCTGCAAATACATACCCTCCTGATGGAGCCGGTTGGGTCTTACCTTGAAGCAAGAAGTCAGAGCTTTAGAACAATGGCTTCACTCCCCTGCTGTTCTGTGTCTAGCAGGTCAACTTTGAAGCTATCCTAACATCTGTGGGTCTGGCACGGTAATATGCTATAAACCAGATTTAGAGCAGATTTGATTGACTTTTTTCACTTTGATATGATTTTACTTAAAATTTGGATTTGTGTAACATTGAAATTGGATTAGGTTTCAGGTTGCATATTTTTTCCTAAATTTTAATGTCCTTTTTCAGATTATTATGGTACACAGATAATCTTAAAGTATTTAGTTTGTTGAAATGGTCTACCTAGTAGCTTTAGATTTGCTCCTTGTTCCTCTGGTTTTTTTTTTTTTTTTTTTTTTTTTGAGACAGAGTCTCACTCTCTTGCCTGGGCTAGAGTGCCATGGCGTCATCCTAGCTCACAGCAACCTCAAACTCCTGGGCTCAAGTGATCCTCCTGCCTCAGCCTCCTGAGTAGCTGGGACTACAGGCATGAGCCACCATGCCCGGCTAATTTTTTCTATATATTTTTAGTTGTCCAATTAATTTCTTTCTATTTTTAGTAGAGACGGGGTCTCGCTCTTGCTCAGGCTGGTTTCGAACTCCTGAGCTCAAACAATCCGCCCGCCTCGGCCTCCCAGAGAGCTAGGATCAGTTCCTTTGATTTTTAAAATTTATTTTTGTGAATGTAATACATGTAAATGGTTAAATAGTCAAATCTCAGGTGAAAAACAGCAGTCTTCCCCACCTCGCCTTGTAGTCTCCTACCCCTGGAGGCCATTACTTTTGGCTCAGTTAGCTATTTCTTCTAGCATTTTTCTCTGTGTTTCTAAATAATATACTAATAGTGTGCTTTCATTTTTTTCCATCAGTTTCAGACATATGTTGACTGCCTCTATGTAAGATCATGATTTGGCTTTCTTAGGCCATTTGTTCCAATACAAACACTTCTCCCCCTCCTTCCAACGTGGTTCATATATTAAATTGATTCTAAGATGCATATTCTTTTACATTTTAACACCTCTGAAATTGGAATACATCTTTACACCATAGTGTCGTATTTTAATTACCATTTTTTTCTTTTAGTAGTTCATAAAATAATGGTATGATTTATAGTCAGTGGTGTCTTGGATTTGAAATATACATCATCATTTAGAGTTAAATCAGTCTTCGATGTCTCTTGTGTCTACTTAAATATTGTTCAAAGCTAAGCTGTGATATATAGTGATTACGTTCCTTTTCTTTTACAACTTTTATTTTTCTTACAATTAATAATTGCCTTTTTTTGATCTGCTTAGTTTTCCATCTGCCTAGCACCCTCCCCCCCCTCCCATGATGATGGAAGGCTGCAGGTCAGTACCAGGCTGGCCATGCTGCGCTTGCTTCTGAACTGATTGCTCCCTAGGTCTGATACACGGATGTCCTAGGACTTGCCTTCACCGTCATCCTGGGAATTGATTTTCTTTGCTTCTTTCCTGTATTGAATCTATTGTTCTGTGGATCCTGTGTTCATGTTTCTTGATTTAACTCCTTGTTTTACTGGAGTATGTCTCCTGAGAAAAAGAATGCATGGGAAACAAATTTCAAGACCTTCCATATCCGAAAGCTTTTATAGTTTGCAGTCACACTTAAATAGTAATTTAGCTGGGTAGAAAATTTTAAGTGGGGAAATACTTTAAATTGTTGCTTTAATCAGTTTCAATCATTGCTCTACGCCATCTACTTTTCAGTGATGCTGTTGTGAAGGACTGTACCATTGTAATTACCTGTTCTTTGTGACCTGTTAATTTTCCTCTCCCTCTGGAAGCTTTTATGATCTTGCCTTTATCTCTCTCTCTTTTTTTTTTTGGAAACAGAGTCTTACTCTGTTGCCCCAGCCTATGGTGCAGTGGTGTCATCATAGCTCACTGCAACTTCGAACTCCTGAGCTCAAGTGATCCTCCTGCTTTAACTCCCGAATAGCTGGGACTACAGGCATGTGCCACCATGCCCAGCTAATTTAATTTTTTTGTAGAGATGGGAGAGTGGAGACCAGCCCAGGATGGTCTCAAAACTCCTGGCTTCAATGATCCTCCCTCCTTAGCCTCCAAAGTGCTGGGATTATAGGTGTGATTTGTTCTACTTTTTGGAAGAGCCTTCTTTGACTTTATCTTCCAGCCTTTGTGTTTTAATTTTTATTTTTGCTATCATTTTTTTACTTGTTCTTTTAAACTTCCATACTGTTCTTATTTCAGATAAGGATGCAACATCCTTATCTGAGGATGCCATGATATTTTTAAAAATTTACCTCTGTTAGGCCGGGTGCGGTGGCTCACGCCTGTAATCCTAGCACTCTGGGAGGCCGAGGCGGGTGGATTGTTTGAGCTCAGGTGTTCGAAACCAGCCTGAGCAAGAGCGAGACCCCATCTCTACTAAAAATAGAAAGAAATTAATCGGACAACTAAAAATACATAGAAAAA